CCAAAAATTCCTTCAATATCATCAATTTCTTTAGTATTTATAACTGTGACATTATTTGCTTTCATGTTGAATAAATCCATCCTTACTTTCATGAAAAAATAGTTTGAATTCTTATAGTTTACTTCTTGTATCGTACAATACATAGTGGAATTTATCAATCCAGATGCATGTTCTTCACTAAAAGGGTTGAAATTGTTCGATTGATCTAGTTGATAACTCTGATTTTAAAATAATATTAGGTGGTAGAATTGTTAAATTAACCTTATAAACAGATAGCATTAGGAATATTTTTTGTATTCAGATCTGAGATAATTTTAAAAGTGCAGATTACGATAGAATTTTTTAAATCAGATTTGCAAAAATGTTTAAATAGTAAAATTCTGCACAGGGTTACAAATTTTTCTTCAATGGTCACTGTCATTTTGAGGTTTTGCGCAGACCTGATATATATAAATTATTAAAGGTCTGCGCAGTTATGAGAAAAAAAAAATTACCTCGACGTAATAAAGACTTTTAATCAAATCATTCCAAAGTTTTTTTTTAAGAATTTGAAAATACTGGGAATGCCTTAAAAAGCCATAAATTTTTTATCTGGTAAGTCTTAAGAATCAGAAGGTAAATTAGGATTTGCGCAATTTCCGCTTTGTATCAAATACTTATCTCTTACATTTGCAGGCCATTACGTTTAATAAGTGAAACTAGTGCATTTTCATTAAGAAAATTGAGATCATCAAAACGAAAATAATATTTGGATATTTTGCTAAAATACTTTTACACTATTATTGTATTTTTTTTAGTTTGCGATTTTTCTTTTGATGAGAGAAGAGAACATGTAACCAGTGGCGGGCTTTAAGCTTGACTAAATTATTTTCAAGAGATTCTACTAATTATTCAAGAATGATCTTGTCAACGATAAAAATAAGATTAAGAATAGATTTAATATCAAAGTTTTCAGAGAAGCAAATTTTCAATATAAATGTCTTAATAAAAATTAAATTAGTGTTTATTAAAAATTATATTGGCAGGTATAATGTCGGTTTAGATTGTGCAAGGGTTGATTATGAGTGGCATGTTATGAGTACGTATGTATATACGTGCGTACATGTTGTAGGTGGATACAGGATATTAAAAACTGATTCTAATTCCACTTAAATGGATATTGGATCCTAAATCAGCTTATAAATGTTTAATCTAAATAAATATATTATCATTATATAACGTTAAAATTGTTTTTAAGTTTATTCGGTATTGCAGTCTACTCTTTCTATACCGAACCCTCGGTTCTGGCCAAAAAAAAAAGTTCGTTATATAGAATTACTATGTTTTCTTAATAGCCATAGCTCTTGTTATACCGAATTAATATTAAAATTTGAAAATTTTGAGTTCGTTATAAAAAGATTCATTATATCCAGAGTTGGCTGTATGTGGATAACTTCATCTCATATAATGAATTAGAATGTTTACACATTTATTTAACTTAAATTGAATTTTATGCCAGTTATCGGTAGATGTATAATGTATTCATTCGGTATTTTCATAATTACGTTAATGTTATTTCCTTTTCAAAAAGGTTTCCAAAGCGCTTGATTACCATTTTTCTGTGTAAGTTCTTGCAGTAACATGTTTTATAAGTTTTTCATTACTTTGTACGTGAAATAAACAACATTGCAAATCAGTAATCCAAAGAGATTACAGTAAAAATAATTCAATTTTCAAATTTCAATACAACCAAAAAAGTGGAAATTTCTCATGTATATTAAGAATAATATCCCAAAATATCTAATCTATGTCAAATATAATTATAATAGTAAACTTAGAATAACGTATTCTGCTGTCTATTTAAAGTTAATACTATACCTATGCAATAACTGTATAAAATATTAATCCTCTTGTGCAAATATTGATCAATTAAAATATTGAAAATAAACAACAGCTAACCAACTCTATAAAAAGGTTTGTACAGTTATTGTAGGCATTGTCCAAAAAAATGTTCGGAACGGAGTCGATTTTCCGAACAAAAAATCGAATAATTTCAGAATTTTCCAAGAGATTTTTTTTTATAAGGCAATTTAATTTAGATTTAATGAATTTAAATCACCTCATATTCGTTTACAAAATAATACAGTCAGACTTTCAAAATTTAACACCCTAAATGTAATACCTCTCATAGTAAGATAGCTAAAGTTTATTTCATTAATAAACTTAGACACTTAGCATATTAATAATATCCTGAATTCTAATAAATATTGATAGATCAAGCCAATTTACGCGATAAATGCATAAATATTTAACCAGTTCTAATGCGAATAAAAACCCGTCAAACTAGGGGTAAACTGATGGTAACGATAGCTATCTAATTTTTTATTTAGACTTCTTATGAATTTGAAACACTTCATATTCGTTTACAAAATAATATTTCAAATTATTAAGTGATTTAAGACCAATTGGTTTTTCATAATGTCCATAATGATTAGTAAGGCAACCATTATTTTGTTCGTTATATTCTACAAACATAGCAAGATGACCACCTCCAAAATTTAAACCGTAAGAAGTACGGTTACAAATAGCATATTCTGGATTTTTGACACGACTTAAAATAGAATTTTGAACTGCATCATTTTTTAGTGAAAAAATAAAGCTATCCTGACAACTCACATAACCATGTTTACTATTATCCCATGCAACTGGATTATATCCACCAAAAATTCTTTCAATATTATCTTTACCTTTCACATTTATAACCGTAACAATATTTGTTTTCATATTGCATAAATTCCAAAATGATTCACGGTTAAATCCATCCTTACTTCCACGAAGAAGTAATTTAAATTCATACGGATTATTTCTTGTACTATATGTAGTAGCTTTTTTATCAACCCATGATGCAATTTCAGCTGCTTGTTCCTCATTAATAACTGTTGAAAAAAATAGTTCGGATGATCTGGTTGGTAACTCTGATTTTAGAATAATACGAGGTGGTAGAACTGTTGAAGTAACTTTATAATCGGATGATAAAAGACTTTTAATCAGATCTTTCCAAAGATTTTCTTCAAAAATTTTAGAATATGGGTATACATAATTTGCGACATCTTTTCCAGACATTTGAAAATAACGAATATGTGGTAAACAATTTTTTAGAATAGCCTTTAGAGCAGTAAAATTTTCATTAGACCAATTTTCAGGATCAGAAGGCAAATCATGATTTTGCGAAATTCCCCACTTTAAAATACAATTCCAAATATTTATCTCTTCCATTTGCAAATCGTCACGTTTGATAAGTGAAACCAATGCATTTTCATTAAGATAATTAAAATCTTCCGAGTCAAAAACAATGTTTGGGTGCTTTGTCAAAATGCTATTGCACCAATTTTGTAGCTTTGCTAGCTTGCTATTTTGGAAGCATTTCTTATAAACTTGAGAAAAGTGAGAACGTAACCAATGTACTTTAAACTCGACTAAATAAATTTCAAGTGATTCAACTAATTCATCAAGAAGAAACTCATCAGCGACGAAAATAAGATCAAAAATAAATTGGACATCAAAATTTTCCAGAGAAACGAAGCCTCCATAGATATATCTAATTATTAGCATCAAGTTAAAAAATTTACATATGTAAATTATATAGTAATCATTAAATATTAAAACTATTATACTTACTTAATAATTAATTCAAATTGTTGAATAGAAATATGTGGGTCTAAATCAATTTTTATAATTCCACTGGTATCTTTGATGATATTTTCTAATTTATCCTGAAAATACGAAGACCTGCATTTTAAAATGACTGAGTGTGCCTTAAACTCCCTTGTGTCTGTATATTTTCCTACTTTAATAATCACATTATAATCATTTCCCTTTTCAAGAAGTTCAATATAATTGTTCGAAAGTTTTTCGAAGTTCACAATCGTCATCTTTTTTCGTTTAAGTTCTTAATTAAAAATTTGCAAATCCAGAATTCGAATACGAATGCGTAAATTCTTTTCTGAGGGATATAGTAAAGAATAGTATCCTGAATATTATAAATAAAGAAGTACGTACGTACAAATCAATTTTACTTATTTTCACGAGTAATACAAGCCTAAAAAGGAAATAATCTACCATTCGTCCTAGGCTAGGGTTACAGGGACAGCGTAGTCCAAATTTTCCGGATCATATGATGTAGATCATTGCATATTGCGTAATTATCACCTTAAATTACGATTTTGTCACTTTTGTACTTGTGAGATTTTACGTACATAAGCGATTAACCGATTAACTTTATCCCTTTGATAAATATCTTCTTGCAAACGTTACAATAACAGATAATGAAACGGTAATAATACTTTTTATATTAAACTATTTAAAGACTGTTAAATGATATATAAAATAATTATATATAAAGGGAAGTGACACGGCCAACCGTCTAACTACGTACGTACGAACGTACGTACTAACGCACTAACTTATCAAGGCTTCTATTCAACGTATATAACGGACTATGTGTAATATTTAATAAAACTCCAAACTTATGCACGTAGGAGTCTTAAACGATAAGTATTATTACGTTCTTATTCTTACACTCTTATTCTTTAATACCTCAACTACACTTGAATTCTAAACTTCTTTTTCACGCATTACTAAAATAAGTTATAAGTTTATAGTTAACAATAGTAACAAGGTTATAATAGTTTAATTATAAATTATATCATAGACACAATAGTGATTTTATTATAAGGGATTAAATATTCTTTTGAAAAGTCGAATTTGTTTGAGATACTTTATTAGAAGGTGAAAATTTTTTTTTGGCATTTATTTTTACATAATGAAATATAAAAATTCTAATCAATCTCTGTATTTTTTATTCATTACCAAAAATTGAGCGAATTCAGAAGTACTATAAACTTGGTAAATTTACTATTTTTTAAAAAAAATTATGAAGGCGTATCAAATTATTAAATTTTAGTTCTTATTTAAAATAGACAAATCGTATGATTATTTTTATATAACTAGAACTTACTTTATTATAAAAACATAGTCCATGGCTTTGAATTCCAGGTATTATCACGTCTTATATTGAGTTGTGATGATTTGATATCATTTATCATAGTAAATACACGATCCATATTGTTAATTACATTTTTTATGTGTTTTATATTATTAGCAGATAATTCTTCTCTAAGATGCTTTACTAGATACTCTAATGCGACAACTTTAGTTTCACATTGTTGATAAAGATTTGGATCGATTCTTTCTTCATCGCCATCAGCAGAAAGGACTGTACTAGATTGTGGCTGTGAGCATAACATAGGAATAAGAATAATATCTTTTGGTTCATTACCATCCCAAATAAGAAATGGATAATCTGTTCGTCGCTTGAAGTTTTTGTATATAAGTCTAATTCCTTCTGGATTATTTAGTTTTGCTTTTTCAATTGACAGTAGATTAAATGCTTACAAATAAGAAAACGGCTACATAAAAATGAAGGACAACTACATATCCAACAATTTAGATCAATTGTATAGCATTCACTCATATTATTAGCAATTGGAGTTGCAGCAAGTTTGTTCCAGTCTTTTTTAAACTCTTCGAACCATTTTGGTGTCACTCGATCAATATGTATTTGCTGGAAACGAGTAGTTTGATCAGGTAAAACACATGAGCAAATAATCCATACAAGATAATCTAATCTTGGCCAGTTAAAGCGATGAAGATAGCAATGCTTAAGTACTTTCCAATGTGATTCAATCATCATATTGGTTTTTCCAATTGGTATAGTTGCTCTTGTTGAACGTGCCCAAAGACACCATCGTGACGGTTTATACCATGAAGACCAAAAATATGACCATAAGATTACAAGATTATATTCAACACAAAAATTATATATTTCATGCACTGCATTTTTCCGAATCTCTGTAGGTGTCAAAAATTTACCATTAGCATTTACTGGTATTTTTGGATGCATATTGAAATGTTTTTTAACAATATTTAAAACTTCTTTTCGTAGGTTTAATGGACAAACTTGATAATACTCTGGTTCAGAACGGCTTAAATCTGGCTTAAAATTAATATTAATAAACCCGAATTCATTAGCAGCTTCTTCGGGCTGATATTGTGTATACTGTATCCTTTTTCTACCTTTTAATTTTTCATTTATTGCTCTATCCATATGCCATTGACACAATTATATATCAGCGTTTGGCGATGTCTGCTTTGCCGCATTTATCTCAGCAAAATCTTTGTCTGTATAAAAATAAGTCGGGTTTAGCCCATAACTTCGAACAGAGTCAAAAAAACTGATAAGAGCATTTGTTCTTAAATAATTATGTGATTCTTTTTCTTGAGCATTTGTAGTATTTAATATTAAGTATGCTAATAGAAAACCTGAGCCATCAATATTGCCAATTAGACCGTATAACTCAAATCGGCTCTTTGCCGTTTTATAAGTTGCATCACAGTGGACTTCTGATGCGAATGAAATAGAGTTAAATAGAGAAGTTATAAATCCCAATGCAGTTACTTTATCGGTTATTAATTCAAAGCAAAGCTTGCAATCTATATATAGGAAGGTTAAAACAAAACAAGGTAATTTAAAATAAAATTTTACTGTTATATTACACCTAGAGAAAAAAAATTTACTATGCTAACTTTTAGTACAATCCATTTTAAGAAAGGTACGTGCTGATATAACTTGATCATCATCCATCTTGTATGAGTCTTGTGCAAACGTTGATCACCAATAATGTATTAGTTTAGCCGTAATATTTAAGATATCAAATTTGGTACAAAGAATTGACCGAATTTGTACTGGATCAAGATGAAGGCTTGTACGAATTTCTTGTTTAACTTCTTCTGGTACTGAAGTGTTTTCAGGTCTTTCGTGGAGGATATTATGGTGAAGTTTTAAAATTGCTTCCATTCCAGGTATATCAATATGAAGAGTCAATTTACCACGACAGTCAAATCGAGCAATTCTTTTTCTGTTTGACTGTTTATATTCTCGTTCCAACTTATAGCATTGAGAGCATGCGAAATAATATGTTGCAACATTACTAAACCGAGTTGAGATACATGGTGCTGTTGTAGCTGTCCAAACATAATCATCACCTTCTTCAACTTTATCTAGAATTACTCTTGCTATCGATTTAAGATCAAGGTTTGTGATTGGAAAAATATCATCATTAAGATCGATACGTGCTTCAAATGAAATTCCATTATTGTGTTCAACATCGGAGATTAGTTTTGCTACAAATTCACTAAGTACTTGTAATGAAATCGTTTCTATAATGGGTTTAGTATCATTGTTTAATTTGATTTTTTTTTCTGCTTTGGAGGTAAGGCAATTATTACATGTTTTGTATGTTTTTCCTTTATATATGAATAATTCTGGTGGATAACGACGAGAACAAGAGGTACATTTATCCATTTTGTAGAATTTAGTTAACGATTTTGGCGAATGTAGTAAAGCTAAGAATATGCATTAGAAAACTAAAGACAATGGCAAAAACTGAGATATTTATACTAAAATTTTTTAAGGTAAATTTAATAAGTCAAAAATGCATATAGCTAAAGGTTTATTAATGTTTAAAACTTGGCTTATTGTAATATGCATATACAATTTTATTCTCTCCTGGTAATTGATAATTGTATTTTATTAAATTTATAATATATTCATTTTTAGATTCTGTATATACCACATTGAGATTAAGGCAAATAAATTTATGCGTAAGTTTTTTATCTATTCCAAGTACAAAATTTCAAGCAACTAGTATATTGGATTCACATATACATTTGTTTTGATAATAACGCGGAATTATATAGAATATACACATGAAAAATGTAGTATTAGAGATTTATTTATGCTGCTCCCGATGGTCACTTCGCCGTCAGGCCATTTATCTGGCATCACATAGAGTTAAGGTTAGCATTTTTATTAGTTGTAAGCATATATTAGTAAATTATCACTTATGTGATAACAGGTAAATGGCTTGTCAGGAAATGGTAACCATTTATTTATGACAGGAGTCACTACACTTTTGCATACAACTAGTTGGCCAATAAAATCTAAATTTATAAAAGAATATCCTTTGGATCATCATTAAACTTGCCATATTCACATAATTCATTAAAAGATAAGCCTAATCTTTTTGAAATCAAAAGTATATATTTTAATACGTGTTAAGCTAATAACTAATTTTTTTATCTTACAAATGTGCCGCCAAATAAGTGCAAATTCATCATTTATACTATAGTTTACAAGGTCGAATTTCTAATAGTATTAAATAGCGTCACCACAAACCTTCAAAGTGAAATTTGTCAAATTTCATTAAGTGCACTAAGGTTTTAAAATCAGCTTCTTTAGGTTTAAATTATATTCTATTTAAATGGTTTTCTTAGTATATAGTTTGATTTAATGAATTTTACTACTTATTAATACTGAATGTTCAAAGGCTTTAAATTAATTAAAGATGATTTTTTATTTATAATACAAATATGTTTTAAAGTTTTATATTTTGTTACTTCCTGAAACATAATAAGGAATCGAAGCTCTTGAGAAGTAACAACTTTAAATTCTTTTAAATATTATATGTTTAAATGCGATAAGTTTAAATAGAAATCTCTAATAATTCGAATTATCTAGGCTGATTTTCATTAATATAAAAGTTCTTTTTAATTAAATTAAGTATAGAAAATTCAGTTTGTTGAGTGAATTACTATATTTTAATAAAATGTATTTACGATATAATACAAGATTCTGTAGCGCAGATTCGATTAATAAATTCGAAAGTTTTTAGCGATAATTTCTCAATAACTACATGATCAAATTCAGTAGAATTAAAATAAAAAAATTCATTGAATTTTATACAGAGGTTATCGAGAAATTATCATTAAAAGTTTTAAGAAACTTAAAAACAGGAAAAAAAATCAAGTAAAATTTTTCTTCTTTGAACTTCAAACAAAGATTCTTCAACAACCAACTACTCAATTTGATGGAAATTTTTTTATTTTAATTCTGTGAAATCATAGAATTAAAATAAAAAAAAATTGATCGAGTTTGAATAGCAGGTTGTCGAGAAATATTCATTAAAAGTTTAAAAAAAATTTAAGCCGCAACTTCTTTTTAAAGATATCTAGACTTTGAACGAAAATTACTCAACACGTACCTGGTTAAATTCAATCAATTTTTTTTATTTTAATTCTATGAGTTAATAGAATTAAAATAAAAAAATTTCGATCGAATTTAACTAGGTAAGTGTTAAGTAATCTTCGTTCAAAGTTTAGATGTCTTTAAAAAGAAGCTGCGGCTAAATTTTTTTTTAACTTTTAATGAATATTTCTCGACAACCTGCTATACAAAATCGATCGAAATTTTTTTATTTTAATTCTATGAATCCATAGAATCAAAATAAAAAAAAATTTTATGATTTTAATAATTGG